CAATATATCTTCAGCCATAGGAGAGGCACCCATTCCTCTGTACACCACATACGGCGCCAGTTAGTCATCCCTACTCTCTATATGTTCTGTATATGGCATTTGACCACAAGTTTAAGTGCATGTCATATATATAAGGCATAAACCTGTTATCTGCTAACCTGTCGGATGTCATATACAGTATTTAATATATTATTTGCCCATTAATTATGATTAACAATATATTTGTATTGAAAACACAGGCAAAGCGTTTCACACATTCCTATCGGAAGCGCTTTCGATTGAATACGAGTCGAAAGGCATTTACATCCAAACGGTGTCCCCAAACCAAGTGAGCACAAAGATCACCACTAATGTCACGCTTCCCATCATTGCCGTCACACCCGAAGACTTTGTGTCGGCGGCCATCCGTACGGTCGGTATCGAGCACTACACTAACGGCCACTGGAAACACAAACTTTTTGCTTATTTCACTCATTGGGGAATCACTATCTTAGGCCAACGGCTCTACATGAAGGTTGCGATGAAAGCATCGCTTGATATGAGACAACAATATTATACGTTAAACAATTTAAATGATGGCTAAAAAGGTCTTGGCCATAAGTCTACCCATTACTGCTCAACTAATTATATAATAGCAAAGTGTTTGTCGTATCAAATACTATATCGTTGGCAAGATTTACATTTATAGTTTGGGATAAATTATATTAACAAGTATCACAAGTAAATTATGCTCGTCAGTTTTATTTATTATGTTTACTGTAAAATTTATTATAAAAATTTTTACCATGCTCAACGAGCTGCTAAGGAAGTAACAAAGCAGTTAATTCATGATTGCTTCCATATCATGAGCTTATATCTAGTTTTACATTTTAAGTCCTTTAGACTCGAATCCAATATACAGTATATAAGATACTCATAAAATTTGTTGATATATTAAACCCTTATATGATTTACGAAATTCAATTGTTTTGTTGAATTGATATGCTGTGAATATAATGTTTAAATGATCTAATCTATGATATTTTAATACAATTTTAAATGTATTATCATTAAAAATGGGTGGAATTTTATTATTTGATAATTTTTAAGTTCATAAATATTTCGCACAATCAATGGTCAAATCGTTTTAATAATTCATATGTAATAAACAGAATATTCTGTAATAAAATTTTTGATTTAATTCTATGTACAAGGTTTACCATAATTATTTAATTAATTTTGCCATAAAAAAATAGTTTATTTGCTTTTAATAGCCTTTAAGCTAAAACTGTCAGTAAAACAGTAATGATTTTTTTGTGTTTAATCGTGTGTTAAATACAATTAACATACGGTATGTTGTCATCATGTTTTCAAATAGTTATCAACATATTTTATTTACACATGAAACACATTCAATTCAATTAATGACTTGTAATTCGTTAATAGTCAACAAATATTGTTTATATTTTGACGCATTTATAGCACATATACTTTTGAGATAATTATAAATTGTCTACGTACTGTAATACACTATAATTAAAATAGTACCGTTATCTGTCACTTTAGGCCCCATGGGGTATTAAATGAGGGGTCCCTGACTCGGGTATACTTCAAAGTAGCATGGGGTGTTACCTAGGTAGTACCCCACCCCCTCTAAGAAATTGACATAATACCCCATGGGTTGATATCTAATATTAATAGCAATGACTACATTTATTTATCAAATTCAATGATAAATTATACATTTCAATTAAAACAATCTCTATTTAAAACATTTAGTCATCTGTATTAATGAATTGTCATGAATTAACATTTGACTTGTTTTTGAGTCAAAATAGCATGGGGTGTTGACACCTAGATAACATAAGGTGGCATGCACCTAGATAAGCCCCCACCCTCTCTAAGAAACTTACATAACACCCCATGGGGTCTAAAGTGACAGATAACGGTATAAATAAAATATACAATTAAAATTAAATTATTGTAGGAATAATAGCAAAAATATAACGATAAGATATAATTGTAAATGACAACTAAATAAGTCAATTAATGTGGCCAATCACAGCGATAAGGCTTGGATGGGGGCGCCCGTAGACACATGTCAATGGCCTCACAACCGGGTGGACTCCAATGCATAACATGCTTATCACACCAGTTAAGCACGGGTTTGGCGGGCCTTACGCTTGAGATATGATTATTATAAATATTAATATATTTATGAATTACATTCTTATATTCATAAGAGTTTTCCGGAATTGGATATCTCTCTCCCGGGTCTCTAATCATGTGAAACAGTTTTGGCGATTGTGTATAATTAGTCAATTCATGGGTTGTGATTGACTTAACAGAGTTACCGGTGCAAAAGTTGATACCCGTTTTGAACTGTTCAATCGTGTTGGTGAAGGTCCAAAAGTGTGCCTTATAGGCGCCATTCCTAACGGCCATCAATTGGTTTCCTCTATAGTAAAACACATTCGTGTCAATCGTTTTGTCCTCAAATAAAACGGGTCTCAAATCGTATGAATCGTATTCCCTATCCGTAGGCATCGGTATGTCTGTCATCGAGACTATAGTCCGAAATAAGTCCATAATAGTAGCCGATTGTGTGCTGACAGAGTTGGGTGCGATTCTGGTTGGCCACCAGGCAATGGATGGCTCTCTAAAGCCGCCCTCAAAAGTGGTTTGTTTGCCGCACAGAAGCGGTCCATTACTGCCGGCGTCTATTGTGCTAACCTTTTAAGCAATTGGGTAGCGATTCTGGTTGGCCACCAGGCAATGGATGGCTCTCTAAAGCCGCCCTCAAAAGTGGTTTGTTTGCCGCACAGAAGCGGTCCATTACTGCCGGCGTCTATTGTGCTAACCTTTTAAACAATTGGGTTAACAAATATAATAATAACTGACATTAATAGACATTGTTATGACATACGAGTGCCGCCCCGTTATCGCTCGTAAAGAAGACAAATGTATTGTTAGCCAGAGTTTGGTTTTGTTTGATTGTGCGAAGAATACGTCCGATTCCGTCATCCATTTCAATGAGAGCGTCGCCATAAGAGCTCTTCTTAGCGCTGATCCCAACGTATGGTTTGGACCGAAAGGTCGACGCGTGAAGAGAGTCGGGCGTCCAGTAGAGGAAGAATGGATTTGATTGTGTTGTTATGAAATCAATCGCTTCTTCGATATATAATTGTGTCAAATCTGAAATTTGTTTACTTTTGTCTATTTTTATATTTTCAAAATATCTGCCAATCATTTGATTGTTTCGGAAGAATGCAATATTTGGTCGACTCTTGTTATCGTATGGACCAAAATGACAATTAGTTGATCCGAAGAACTCATGAAATCCATGTCTGAGCGGTAAGTATTGCCTTTGATGACCCAAATGCCATTTACCCACTATTTTATTTCGATATCCATACTATTAATTATAACCATATAATTATAATTTTAACATTTAATTAATTAAACAAAAATATTCGTAATCTTAACATTTTTATTAATGAATGTACAGTACTGTACATGTACTGTATTATAGGACAGTCTTATAATTAAATTGTAATCCAAACCTCTTTTAATAATTCTGGTAATAATATCTCCGAATCACTGATTCCTCCGACAATCTCTTGAGGTGTGTATGAATTTCTGGCGTGAATATTGTTCGTATAGAAGCCATTCCTCACCGGCAGTCGACCGGTCAGTAGGGATGCCCTCGAAGGCGAACACAATGGGTTTGCTGTGTAAAAGTCCGTCAATAGCATACCCTCGCGGGCCATACCATCTAAATGTGGTGTTTCACGCACCGGATTTCCATTTATACCCAGATCTCCCCAACCCATATCATCCATTAACATGATTATAATGTTTGGTCTATTATTCACTTCATTTGCATCACAATATTGTTTGTTTATTAATATTTGAAATAATAGCACAATTACTGAAATTCTTATAACTGTTAACATATTCTGGTAATTGTTTTAAAGGTTTAAAAATATTCACAAAAAAACTTTTTTGTTATAATAAGTGAATGAACTTATATATTAGTGGAGAGAAACCAAATAAAGTTTTACTATATTTGATTCAAATATATAATGATTGAGAGAATGTTGATCTTCGGGTCCAACAACTATTTGAATTAATTAATTGATAAGTTATTATTTTATATTAATAGTTACTTTAGATATAGATACATTTAAATCTTGTTTTATAAAATAATTATTTTATAATGAGAACAGTATATACTGTATAAACAATATCAATTTTATAGAACCTTTCATAAACACATTAATTTATCCATATTTAACAGTAATAAATATGAATATATTTTATAAATAACAGAATATATCAATAACACTAAACAGATATTAATAGATATAATGTGTTGTGAAATATCGTAGACTAACTATTGATGGGTATATAAAAGTCTATTTAAATTACACATTTGTTTACACATGTGTCACACAATTGTTAATGAATTCTCTAAACCCTTTATTGAACTAAATATCAACAAAAACAACTCAATACTAAATTATAATTAGTTATTAATTATCTTTAATTTACATAAAATAGAGGAAAAATTTGAATTATTAGATTTTGTTTACAGAAATTTAGAAAGATGGTTGTTTTATGTTAATATATGCAAATGTATAAAGAATCCTACATTGTAAATCTTGTTTAAAATAGATATAGTATTGCATAGTAAACTATACTTCACGGCTTTTATTAAAAATAGGCAATACACATACTTTTTCTAAATATGATAATTGCTTAACCATTAACTGTAATCTGTTTTATTTGATAATTAAAATGATTGATGTGTTTAATAATAAACCAATACTTCGTTAAAACATTTATTATTAATACAGCAAAAAAAGTATAAGTATTACAAATAAATTCGTTATTTTTGAATGTTATATAAAAATAGAAAAAATTTTCAAACAAATTTAGAGAAAAAGGTTTCAAATGTTTTCTGTATAATAATTGCAGTTTTAGATATATCCTCAAAATATTGCCATAAAAACAAATCTCATTAATATCTTGAATAAAAAAATTGAGGAATCGGTTAATATATGGGTCCAAAGCGTCCACTCTTTTACAGATTTGCGCTCTAATTATAACGAAATGAATAGAAATGTATTAATAAAAATAAAATTAAACCATTAATAAGGGGGAGGAATAATGTGAGCAAACCTTCACCTTCTTGATGGCGAGTCGGACGCGAGAGCCAAAGTCCGGGTGAACTTTCTCAAAGTTGGCGATCGCTCGCTCCTGAATGAACGGCTGGGCGGCCACCAAATGACCGCCAATATTGTTGGCCAGTCGTTCGCGTTCGTCGGCGGTCAGCACTTTGTTCCAGAAGTCGGTCACCTGATCGAAGTTGTCGTCGTTGGACGAGTCGTGTCGGTCCACATCGCCCGACACATTGG